GAGTCTCGCTCTCTCGCCCAGGGCTGGAGTGCAGTGGCCGGATCTCAGCTCACTGCAAGCTCCGCCTCCCAGGTTCACGCCATTCTCGGCCTCAGCCTCCGAGTAGCTGGGACTACAGGCGCCCGCCACCTCGCGCCGGCTAGTTTTTTTGTATTTTTAGTAGAGACGGGGTTTCACCGTGTTAGCCAGGATGGTCTCGATCTCCTGACCTCGTGATCCGCCGTCTCGGCCTCCCAAAGTGCTGGGATTACAGGCTTGAGCCACCACGCCCGGCCGCGTTGTGGCTTGCTTTTAAACAACAGAATATGGCAGTGTGATAGGATGTCCCTCCCCGATCACCTGATGTTTATACAAGACTCCATCTGCTCGCAGACTCATTCTCAAGGGTCTCTCATTTGCTGGGTGAGAAGCAAGGTGCCATAATTCCTACAACTTCAAGGAAACAAATTCTGCCAAGAATCTGAGGGGGCTTTGATCCTTCCCCAGTCAACCTCCAGATGAGAATGCAACCCAGCTGACACCTTAATTGTAGCCTCGTAAGAGAGAAAATGGAATATAAAATTATTGGTAAAAACCACAAAAAAACAGAAAAAGAGTAGAGACAAAAATAGTAGCAAAGAACAAGGGCAATGTATTAGTTTGATTTTATGCTGTTCATGAAGACATACTTGAGACTGGGTGATTTATAAACAAAAAGAGGTTTAATGGGCTCACAGTTCCACATGGCTGGGGAGGCCTCACAATCGTGGCAGAAGGGAAGAGGCACGTCTGACATGGTGGCAGGCAAGAGAGAGAATGAAAACCAAGTGAAAGGGCTTTCCACTAAAAAAAATCAGATCTCATAGAACTTATTCACTACCACGAGAACAGTATGGGGTAAACTACCCCCATGAGTCAATTAACTCTACCAGGTCCCTCCCACAATATATGGGAATTATGGAAGCTACAATTCAAGATGAGATTTGGGTGGGGACACAGCAAAACCATATTAGGCAACAAATAGAAAATAGCAACAAACATGGTAGATATTAATCCAACTATAGCAATAATCATTTTAAACATCAATAGTCTAAAAACACCAATTAAAGACCGAAATTGTCAAAGCGGGTTAAAAAATAAGACCCAACTATATGGTGACTACAAGAAACTCACTTTAAATGTAAAGACATATATAGGCTGGGCACAGTGGCTCATGCCTGTAATCCTAGCACTTTGGGAGGCCGAGGCAGGTGGATCACCTGAGGTCAGGAGTTTGAGACCAGCCTGACCAACATGGAGAAACTCAATCTCTACTAAAAATACAAAATTAGCCGGGCATGGTGGTGCATGCCTGTAATCCCAGCTACTCGGGAGGTTGAGGCAGGAGAATCGCTTGAACCCAGGAAGTGGAGGTTGTGGTGAGCCGAGATCATGCCATTGCACTCCAGCCTGGGCAACAAGAAACGAAACTCTGTCTCAAAATAAATAAATAAATAAATAAATAAATAGACATATATATATATATAAACGGTAAATGGAAAGAGAAAGATATACCATGATGAAAAGGAAAGCTACAGTAGCTATACTAATTTCAGACAGAGCAAACTTCAGAGCAAGGAAAATTATTAGGGATAAAGAAGGATGTTACATGATGATAAAGGACTCATATCTCCAAGAAGATATAACAATCGTTAAAACATTTGTGTCTAAAAACAGCACATCAAAATACATGAGGAAAAATCTACTTGGCCGGACGCGGTGGCTCACACCTGTAATCCCAGCACTTTGGGAGGCCAAGGCGGGTGGATCATGAGGTCAGGAGTTCAAGACCAGCCTGGCCAAGGTGATGAAAACCCATTTCTACTAA